AATTACTATTTTGTAATGTTGACTCTGTGCTATAGTATAAAATATAAATATATATATTTAATATAAATATTAAATATGGCACTAAACATGGTCTAATATTGATGATTATTGATTCATAAAAGTGATATAATTTATAATTGGCATGCTGAATGTTAAAATTCCCATCTACAAACTGCAGAAAAATTGCCAAAAAACTTGTATCTAACAACATGCACTTTTGCAAGGTACAAAAACAAAAACCTGGTATTATGCATCACACATTGTAGGAAAAAAATATGTATTTCCAACCCTTTGGAGTATGTTCTTATTAATATTAATACAGCTGCTAGTGATTAAAAGATATGAACCTGCAAAAAAATCCAGATTCCCCACCCAATTCCCATCATGCACTTGATTAACAGTTGATGATAATTGACAGACACATCTGCAGATGGTTTTTCCCCTCAGGAGCCTCCTGTCGTCATAGCAACCAGCCCTGCTGCATCAATTTCCATTTGTTCCCTTCCCTGAGGTTTAATTTCATTTTCCTGTGCCCGGAGTCCATTCACAGATGACATAATGGAATTTTCCACCAGGAAAAAAAATAACACATCATAAGAGAATTTGTGAGAGTATTTTTAGGATTAACGTTACGTGGACATGTATTTTTTTTCTTTGAAGCCATGACTAGGTGATGAGTTTGCATACGCATGCCATTGGCATTGCAAATTTCCTCAATTAGGTTACAGCAGCCATTTTGATGCACGAGGGGAGGACCAATCATTTTTGTATGCAGGACGGTCGACGGCTGAAGCAATAACCGACACCCACATTTCAACACGGCCCTAGCCTGCGCGTGACGTGAGCAAATGAGATCACCCCTGATGATGATGACTTGTACGCAGCTCCTCGGTACTGCATCCAAGATGGAGGACCGCTTGTGAATGTGGGGACCGGGCCCCTCCCCACACCCTATTTTTCAGGACGAAAACCGGACGCGTTGCACGGCTCCATCCTGGCGCATCTGAGGATGTATATACATTTCTACAAGCAGGAACAGTGTGTCACGGTCGCGAAAAGTGGGCAACGTTTTGCCGACGGAGTTATGCAAAATGGAGACTATTGCGTTGGTAAGCCACTCCTGCATAACAGCTTTGTCCTGACTCATAACATCATGTGTACCTCCCAATACTACATTATTAGCAATTCCTGTCAATTATTGCACCAAATCTGTTATTATTTCATTAAAATGTGCAATATTTTACAGCGTTAATGCCTTGGTTTGACGGAATATCTTCCAATTATTGCTGTGAAAATTTGGCATAATAGATTTTCAGGCGTATCTGTTTTTATCAGCCAGTGTGTTTTTTTCCAGACAGTCCCCAGAGGTTAACAAATTGCATGTTGACCTCCATTTGAATTTTTCGGGGAGTATTTACGCATGCATGCCTTTTGAAGTGGGGCGTATTTGGACAATATGGGTTTTGAGATATTATGTACTGGTATCACTGTCGTTCATTTTTATTCATGCCATGTACATTGTATATTTCCTTTGTGTGGTGGGGAGGGGGGGCAGTATTTTGTTATCGTTAAACAGGGAATAAGAAGTATGATTTGGATATTATGTAAGGTTAGATAACAAACATATTGAATTTCTGAAAAATGCAAGTTTGAATTGTTATGATTTTTTATAATTTCAGCATTTAGAAAATGTAAATATATTAGACTTCCGTATGTTTTGTTGTTTTATTGGAATATCAAATTCTAACAAAATATTTTATGTATTTTCATTTAAAGGTATCAAGTATTTTGATGTGCCAGTGAACATAAAATATTCTATTGATAAATATCTATATGAAATATAACCCACTTCACAACATAGAAAATTCTAGAAGAATAATTTTGTTGCACATTTAAGCTGATTTACATTGTACAAGCATAACAGTCATATTGAAATATACCGTCATAATCTTGTCTTGATAATACTTCTTAACTGTTATCATAAGTCCATAAGCAAAGGCATTATTACTGCAGAATGCTATTCTCAGCTATAATAAGGTTTTTATGTTGTCTGGCTGGACAGATAATTTGATTAGCATGATTTGACAAGCCGTTACATAGACTAAAGGTTTCTTGTATTATGTTATGTACATATAATATATACAGATAGCTCAGATCAAGAATTGTCTTCAAGTGCATATATTGTACATCATGGTTTTTGAAGGTTTAAAGGAAGACATTGAATTTTTGTAAGTCAAATTTTTTTCATTCCATGTTTTTTTACTGATATACCACAAAAATTAGTTATGCAAATTATGTTTTGATTTGCTTCAATTTGTAAATTTGATTTTTTAGAAATGCAGCAAGTTGTTTGTGTTTAGAAAGGAGAACTATATAATATGTTATATATTTAATTTTCTTGTATATGAAGTATTTTTAGCCAAATGGATGGTATTTATTCAAGACAAAGATTGTGGCACTGTTTGCCTTAACAAATTAATCAGAATTATGCAGCAAATACTTGCTAACAGAGTAGTCCGTTTTTTTGCCATGCTAATATACACTTTTGACCTTGTACTGTATTATCTTGACCTAAATGACTCCCAATATACTGCAAAAACTAGGACAGGCCTACACCTAACATACTGTAATGTTCGAATGAAAGCTCATCTGTGTTGGTAGAATCCATAGTTAAAATCCAAGGTTGACGGGATCAGCCGAAAATTTATGGTGAGTTCCCTTTGTGTTGGAACAAGTCAAACTCTTTAACTATACTGTAATGTATTTAGCTTTGTGGTGGGTGTATTTTGTGTTATGAGGGAAAATTAGGATTTTTAGTGTTTTAAAGTTCATTATTACATTTTTTGTACACATGTAGTACCTTAGAACTATAAAATCCTTATTTGTGGTATTCTGATTTCACAGTAAGAGGTTACTACAAAAATTATGAAAATAAAACCACCGCAAAAGTTTCTGCTTTTGCAGTAGGTTATTCGATAAATGTTACAATGTAAAATTACAGTAATTGTAAATGCATAACTTTTGCAGTGTTTTTTTTTTGGTGGTTTTCACAGTGACCTCTTAGTATCACAAAATCATAGAAAAAAATTTGTTTTAAACAGTTTCAAATCATGATCATGCAGCTCATTTCTTGTTCAAGATTTAAAGTTAAACTTCACCTTAAGTAAAATCTTATTCCAATACTTAGTCTCAAAATTAGTCATCCTTTACAGTCAGGATTCCCAAGTTTAAGAAGAATGACTAAGACATAAGCTGACTGTATGACTGGGAGAGTTTATCATACAGTTTATTGATTTTCTGAGTTCCTGGAATGCCAGCTCTCAGCAGGCTATAAAGACACATCTGTTCATAACGGTTACACGTAAAACTATTACTGTACAAGAAAATCATGATAGATTTTTGTTGCCAATCTTTTTTATGGTATTAGTCTTGAGTTTTGACTCATTGATTGTGTCCTCTTCTTCTTCATAAGAATCATATATTGCATTTAAAAATTGTTATCATTTAGTATATGAGGCATAGATTTTGAAAGTTTGAGATTTTGAAAGAATTATTTTCTTTTTAGAAATTTTATACTGCTGGACATTTTATGTCTGAAACTTTAGAATTATGTAGATGAAACTGTGTAATGATTCTGTGGAAAGCTATATTTCCCATTGTCATTTTCTACATGACAAAAAGTTAAAATTAATATATACTGTAGATGCTACTTTTGTAATTGTTTTAATTCTATGAGGGAAAAGGTTTTCGCAGTGTTAAAAGTTTATGGTTGAAATAAATTAGTTTGTAATACTAACATTATAGAAGTACAAAATATACTGTGCCGTCATTTTGAGTTAAAAGGACTTAGCCAAAACATGCATGAATTTCAAAATAAATAAATGCATTTACAGTTTAACAACAGATTTGCACAAAACTTGACCTATGCATTTGTTAATCCTATTCATAATTCAGTTGTTCAACCTTCATTTTGGCCACATCAAACACATTTTAGGTCATCCGATCATGAAGTTGATCCTAATGTCACTAAACCTTCCTCCCTGTCTAGTCCAGGCTTTTAGCTAGGGGGTGTCCAGGGTGTCTTTTGGACGCCCTGTACTGAAAATACTAAGAAATTGGACACCCTACTTTTTGGTAGGACACCCTAAAGACGCCCTATTTTTTCCACTCCCAATCCCTGCCACACACACATGCCTCCCTTCAGCCTTACTATAAATACAGAAATGATGGTTTACTCACTGATAAAAAAAACTTACATTCCTCCTCAAATTTGCACCTCAAAATGCAAAAAGTGGTGTTTGAGAGCATTACAAATTTCAAAAAAGCCCCCCTAAGAAGCTTGTGCACTGCGCATCTTCGCTGCACATAGCATACAATAAAAAAATGGACACCCAACAAAAAAATCCTAGCTAAAAGCCTGGTCTAGTCTGTGGGTTGAGGTAATCCTCTGACTTGTTTTCCCACTGTGGAACCCTGGCAAATCTCCAAGGTTTAAATTACTGCCTAGGGACAGATTGAATGTATCAGCCTGGTAGTTTGAGTGCGCAGAAAGAGAAAACAACATGTTAGTCCACAGAATTGAAGAGTTGAATTTTAACATATATTGTACCACATGTACCAGGAGGTGTAACCACACATTGTATGTCGTATTATGATAATACATGTAGTGTGGCAAAATGAAATTGTACGATTTCTGCAAGAATGCAGTGCAAAAGATTGTTTTGGGGACTCTGAACTATGGGTTTGTGTATTAATTTGTTTGTCTGGACAGTTTGGGTTGACAGCACATGGGAAAGATTGACAGGCAGAATATTAGGTGGTCAAAGGTCTTGTTATAAGAGGGTCAGGAATTAGAGGAACATGGGATAAGTCAGGACACGAAGAATGTCGTACTTTAACAAGATGAGTACGGGGGTTTTGTTTTCAGTGTCTCTGTGTATGTATGTTTGCTTATATGTCTGTTTAGAAGTGGTAGAAAATGTCAGTGTTGTTTTCTGCAGGATTTGAGGGGATCGCGCCGCCGTCATCAGACCAGCTGTATCCTGAGGTACCTGAACCCTCACCTGCCGGAACACCTGGGGAGGTACCGCAACCTGCAACACCTAATGATGTACAGGTGAGGCCTGCACACCTGTTCTTAACACACCCAAAACACCTGTTCTAAACACACCTGTTCTAAACACACCTACACATCTGTTCTGAACACACCTGTTCTCAACTCATCTGTTCTGAACACACCAGTTCTCAATACAGCTGCACACCTGTTCTTAACACACCTGCACACCTGTTCAGAACACACCTACACACCTGTTCTCAACACACCTGTTCTCAATACACCTGTTCTGAACACACCTGAGCACCTGTTCTCAACACACCTGTTCTCAACACACCTGTTCTCAGCACACCTGAGCACCTGTTCTCAACACACCTGTTCTCAACACATCTGTTCCTAACACACCTGTTCAAAATACACCTACACACTTGTTCTAAACACACCCAACAGACCTGTTCTCAGCACACCTGTTCTCAGCACACCTGTTCTAAACATGCCTATTCAGAACGCACCTGTTCAAAACACACCTGTTCTCAGCACACCTGTTCAGAACACACTTGTTCTCGACATACCCATTCAAAACACACCTGTCAAATCAAAAGATGAAACAGTTTACCTGAATTTCATTAAACTTTAAAGCAAACATTCTAACTATTCTACGTACTATTTCCTAACTTAAGAATTAAAAAAAAGTGAATCATGAGATATATGCTCATGTTGCAGTAACTATCATAATGATGCATACATTTAATATTTATAGTAACTGTTTTGTACTATATATTCTGATTTTACATGTACATAATTATGTACTACTAGACTGCCTAATTTTGTCAAAATGCTGTAAGATAACATATTATTACGTCTGTCTCTGTTGTTGTATTGTTCCTTGTTACTGAAAATGAATGTTGTGTTTTAGTATCTGATGTTTTGAAATTGATGTTACGTTTGAAATGTTGTGCAACTTAAATGTACATGTATGTTACTTGTATTGTGTTTTGCTCATCATTGACAAATAATCTGTTTGAATATATACATGTAATACAGGATTCGGCCATTAGACGTAATTTTTTAGTTGAACGTCATGTAATTTTCATATTTTTTCTTTCTAGTTGTTTTTTCTAGGTACTTGGCAACCTTATTGGTTTGATGTTCAATGGTGGAAGAAAAAAATTTACAAACACACACACCTACACTCCCATACAGTTATTACACTGAAGAAACCAATTGACAAAAGGCTTTACCAATTCAATTTCTCGGTTATTCTCAGATCTTTGCTTAAAATGATGGCGGGTTTAAACCAAATAACAACTAAAGCAGTTGTCACAAAGTCCAAAAACATTGCGAACTAATGTTTCTAACAATGACTTGTACCTTTTTTTAACCAGAAAATATTTAAAAAAAGATGAAAGAATCGGAGAGATTGAATTGGATTGGCTTTAGGTGTGAAAACTGCCTTTTTTTCAGCTCACAATTCACTACTTCCTCCGTCGAGCGTACTCGGAACCCCTGCATGACCACCCTCCCCCGTTCCTACCTGTCCTTCAGCGGTGTGACCAGGTCACTCATGTCCAAGTTCCTGTCCTCTAGGCCACACCAATTTATCCCCTCAGTTGTCAGAAATTTCAATAAAATAAAAAGGAATAAAAAAAGCTGAAACTAGAAAACTGAGATTTCAGACTTCCAGGACATACCTTTGTATTCGGGGGTTTTCGTGACCTTGAAGTACACAATACCTTCGAGAAGTGTTCTGGGTTTGGTGAATTGATCGAATGTACTGGAACTGTGGAGGGGATTGTATGATGTAACTTGATCACTGGTATTATCTAGTTCTTAAATTCCTCCACTTACCACCCACCTACCACCCACAGTATGCTTGGTGTTACCTCCCTATCAACTGTCAAAGTCACCTCCCACCCACCATGCAAACAAAGCTACATGTGTATTAGGACAAAACCACACAACTTAGCCCCCGATAACAATTGTACTTTTGTAGTAAAATTGTTCCTGAAAAAAGGATGATTATTATAAGGAAAACTTGGATCAATCTACATCTTTTATATGTAACTTGAAGACAAGATGTTTTCATGTTGATCTTCTGTTTTGCCAAATTCCTTCAAATCTGAGAACCGACAGATTGAATTGGTGTGGCCTAATGTACGTTTTCAGACAATTTCAATACTGAAATGGTTCTTCTCTTCAGGTTTTGCAACAAAGGATATTTTACTAAATAAAACATTTAATAGTCCCCTAATACAGGTTTTTCAATACTAACTTGTTGATTTTCTACTAACTCACAATTGAAAGGCGGACTTTCCATCTTATAACCCAAATGACGACCCGGGAGTGAGCCCGGTACCGGGGCGTAAAAAGAGCGTTCGCTTTTCGGAATCGGAGGATGTTGAGGTGCGTTACACCCGGCCAGGAAATGTGACAGTGAATCAGACTCGACAATGAGTTTGATCAGAGTCAATCTGTCTGACATTTGGTTATGGTGGCAAGCCAATCTACTGAGTGCAAAGCTACTTGTACAGAGGAAATTGCATGCCCCCTCTCATCCTCCTTTTCAGAGCATGATTAAGACCATACACTGTAATAATATTCAAGATTTTATGTTCACTGTTTTCTGTACAAGACTTATAAGAAATGCTAAGTTGCCCGGCATGCAATCCAACAGAAGGCATTGGAAGATTCCATTGCTGCATGGGGGTATAGACTATTGGAACACTAAAACATTTTGGACAGGGATGATTTAGGAACAATCCATTTGTGTGGGAGGGAGATAAATCCATTTTTGGTACGGGGATGTTGTGAAGCCATATGCTGCATTTGCTCCCGAGCAAATGTCGGTTTTTCTAGTTTACCTTTGAAATTCTTTCTTTTTGCATGCAAAGCATCCTTTTAAAAGTTTCAGCAGCCCAGCTTACAGCTTAAAAAATACACTGCTAAACAGCTATACTGTCAGCATCTGAACGATATTTTAAAATAAACACTGTCAGCCAGACTGTTTGAACTCTTACTATAACTAAACAGCCAGGCTGTTTGAACTCTTACTATAACTAAACAGCCAGACTGTTTATGGCAACCTGAAATACGTGTATTGACGGGTAACCTAGCTTTTCGCAACATTGAGAGAAAAATATTTGGAACCCTGGATACCATTTCTTTTCTCAGCCGCTGAGAAGCGTTTTATGTTGCATGTGGCATCATTTCATAGTGAATATTACAGTAGCAATCATAGTTTTTTAATTTATGATTTACTTGATTTCATTTTGAGTTTCAGGCATGTTGCAGTTTTAGTTATCATCTGTTTTGAGTTTGTTTTGAGCTAACTGTTCAGTTTCTAATATACCGTATGTCATGTGTCACTTGATTTTGTTTATTGTTTTTGTTAACCTCTTTTGCCCCTATGTTTCCTTTGTTATCTTTTAATGTCTTGTTTACAGTAACTGATACTGTTCTTGCTGTCGTACATTATAGCTGGTTTTGATTGTCCGAAGTTCTGATTTTTCAAAAGGTTTACTGGTCAACCTGTCCAGCTTCTGTTTCAATTATAATATTTTTTTCTTACTTTCTGTTTGTTTATTTTCTTTTTGATACAACCAGATGACTTGTAAACATTTGGCCTTAAGGACAATTCTTTCAAATTTTCTTTGAAAATCAATGTTTAAAAGACTGTTCCTGTAGAAAATATGAACCATTAATTAAAAAAGCAGATGTCTACAAGTCACCAACAGCTTAGCAAAAACTGGTGCTAGTATAACTATAAGGAATGTTCTGTCACAAGACCTGAAGCATGAAAAAGCATGACCTGTCAGGGAGTATTTTCAATGATTTTTAGTCTTTTCCTTTCAGTTCTGTTTCCAAGTTGCATGTCTGTATGACGACCTTTTTCTTCCAAGTGATTGACAATCTAATTTGCATGCTACCAGGTTTGTTGTATCTCACAATAGAACTGTTACTTATATTGAAAATTTGTGGAAAATTCATTAAACTCATTGAAACAAAAGAAAATCAAGCAATGATGTTATAATCTATGTACCAAGCCATTGGCTTGAACTTATATAAAAAAGTTACACAGTATATTTATGCTTGTCTGTTTTAGATCAAAATTTTAATTTGCCTCCTACGTGTGACAAGCTACATGTAGGTCTCAAGACGTCCTCCCTTGTCAATCAACTGTCAAAATCACCTCCCCTCCACCATGCAACTGAATTCGAAGCTATTTAGGTCAAGCAGAGACAGAAACCCACAGCCACCCAAAACAATACTCCCATATGTTTTTGGCCTTTGAAATTAAATGAGTTCACTGTGGGATACAATGACACCTGACTGACCAATCCAAAATCATTCTCTGATTACCACATAATTGTACGATAATCGAAAACTCTCCATACAATACATAGATGAGGGACAACGAATCTCCAAACCTAAATACTCCGAAGGATAGCGCCGAACGGGTTTCGGAGACTAGCACGGCTGGGGATGACCAATCAGAAAGAAAGTTGCTGGCGGGGCCTAAGGTTCGGATACAAGGAAGCAGTTCTCTAACCCTCTCGTTCCCTTTACTTAACAAAAACTAACTCAATTCTTTGAATGAATTATTTGTTTCTTAAGAATTTGGTTTACAATAATCATTATTACAAAAGGTGCCAGGTTGTGAAATACGTATCGTTAAGTTAATCTTAAAAAAGCACAGAAAAATTGCCAATATTCGACTAAAACATATATTTTCAACTGTTTCATAAGGAAGCTCATAATTATTTAGCTTTTGAAGATGCTGAACAGTAATATCAACATAAAAGAAATGGTTCCAAAGAAACAAATAGTTCGGGATTCTTTTTTTCTTAGGCCCTCTTTCCACTAGATGTTGATTGCTGAGCAACCGAAACTGGATTTCTGTCCCTTTATTATTGCATAAATGATGATGTACAATTCAAAAGTATAATTTAAAAGACAACAAAGCACACAAAATGCAAAGGAAAATTTTTTTCTTTGTCTTTGAAATTTGTCGAGCAATCAGTAAAACTTTAGGTCGCTCAACTGTCACAGCCTTTAGTGGAAAGGGTGACTGTGTTACTCAAACTTCAAGTAGCTACATCTACACTCCAAGCCAAACAATCATCCAATTTACAAGCCTGGGCTCCAGACTGTTGCCTGGGCTAGTATGCAGGCAACGTATTAAGTAGGGCTAAGGCTCTGGAGTTGCGCAGGAGTCTGGCACCCAGGCTTCCATTTTATAATCTGCACCCTGTTTAACACTAACTTTACTGTTTCTTTTCTCCACACTAAGGACCTGCTGTATAACACTGTGTGTCAGACTGTTACATTCCATGCTGTTGATTCTGTAGAGCCTGTAGCTAACCCTGTAGTGTGCATGCCTGTCTGCCTATAGGTTACTGACATGGAGGGGCAAAACGGCCACGAGAGAAGGTCTGCATCAGATCTGGTATGTTACAAAGAAACAGCTAAGAAACTAGCTTTCCTTTTCTTTGAATTTTTTCTTTCTTGGTCTGCAAGTCAAAGTCAGAAGCAAGCTTTGGGCAAGACAAGGTTTGACGCTGGTGGAGTTTTATGGATCGACAGTCGGCCTGGGGAAAAATGATGTTGTGTTTCTTGTTACCCAATTGACCCTATTAAAATCCAGTACCAAAAATGCTTTTCTTGTTTTTCTTCATTTTTCTGTGGCACAGAAAGTTTTCTTTCTTGAAAGAGATTTAGTCCATGAATTTATTGAAACTTCTCCATTTACTGAAACTTGTGTAATGATGACTATGATGAAAATACTATTAGTAATAGTGAGTGACTTGATGCATTTTCAGTTTAACTTGTCAAGCTGTATTTGTTGGATTACTAGATAAAAAAAGAATCTCTATGGTCTACCCACCTGATTTTTTTTAGAACTGTAATCAGAAACACAACATTAAATTTTTCCTATGCCTAACTCAGGGAGTATGATACTTTTAGGTATAAGAACTTTTTCCATCTTCTCTGCCACTCACTCAATCATGTAATTCTTTTCTATGCTCCAAGTATTTGTTCTGTATGTTGAAGCCTTTCTAAACTTCAGCTTTTCCCATCGTTATTTCTTCTTTCTCAGGCACTGGAATATTCAACTTGCTTCTTTGGATACTCCAACTTTTTTTTCCAGTACTCAAGGCTTGTCTAGGAGTCTGAGGACAAGATATCATTTTATCTTATTATGTACAGTTAGCCATCTAGGCTATTGTATGATTCTTTTATGATTACTCAATTATAATTATTACACTTTCGATGCATATCTGTCAATGTCTCAAGTATTTTCATCTACACTTTCAAACTATTACTTGTAGCACTTCTTTCCTCTCCATTTTCTTCCTCCATCTTTTCAAACAAGAACCAGGCGATTGGCTGGTGGCTGGACCAATCAGAGGAGAGGCCTGTGGGAGTATGTCATGGATATTCATGAGGCTCATGCATATGCAAATATCGGCACATTTTGGTTGCACTCAATGTTTGCCTATAGGCTTTTTTGGTTTGCATTAAATGTGTGGGTTGCATGGTTGCTTGGCTGTAGGTTGCACCCGGTGGCGTGGGATCAGATCCTAGCCAGGCAGGAAATGGGACTTATAAGGTTAGTCATCGCTTAGTTGCAAGGGTTAGGTGTATTTTTATACTTTTTAACTCATTTGCATGCATTTGCAAACTGCTTTCAACAACTGAAAGTTTCAGAGCTTTGTCAGCTGCAGCCATTTACGATACCGCAACCATGTCCAGCCTTGTTGTTAACACTCATCATTGACATTGACATTGTTGTTATTGTGTGCGAATATAACAATGCTATCATAACATCATAAAAATTGCATTATTGTATATATGTTCATAGCAGTCTTGAATATAATGAAGAGTCATCTATGGTGGTAATGTGGAAAAATTACCCTTAGCCAGTAGAAATTTTGTTGAATATAAAATTCATCCCAAAAAAATATTACTTTTTATTAATACCTTGACTATTGGACAAGTTGGCTGTTTGTATTTCATCTCATCAACCTATCACACATTTTAATTCATGATTGCTAAATAAATAAAAACTATGCAAAATGCAGTTTATATTTTTGTAAATAAACTGCATTCTGCATAGTTGTTTAGGGTACATAGCTTGACTACAGAAAAAACAAACAAAAGTGCAAAACATAGCCTGCCAATATCTCAGTGTGCACATCTTTTACTAAACTCAATGACATATTTTCTGTGTATTTTGCTCTGGCAAACATCAAAATTTATCTAACATTAATATCTATTATCGTAAATTTTCTTCAACTCTTAATGTCAAAGACAAACAGATATGAGTGTCTACAAGACAAGTATAATAGAGCATAATTAATAAAACATAAAAGGAGATAATTCCCCAAGGAATATGTTATCTATTCAGGGTACATCAATCTATATTGTACCCATCCCTGAAATACCTTTCAATGTTCCTTCACACAGCCTAGATACAGGGACATTACATTATTGAGTTGGCAAGGGGTTAACATGACATAGTTTGAAAAATATTAATAAAGCTTCACGTTTTGTTAGTTATTAGTTATCAATAACAAAACCTTGTCAAAATTATCGTCAGAATTATAGCTTCAAGTGTAAGAAATTACGGTATTAACTGTTCAGTAATTCTCAACATAATTTGAATGTGACACCCCTTCCACAATATTGGTAGAGTCCTGTCTAAATTGTTTAGATGTAAGGCTTAGTCGTAGTGCTTATTGCGTGTGTCGAACACGAATGTTTTTCGGACAACACCTGTTTTTTAGAGGGAATGGAAACCTTGTTTAGCGTTACCAACAGAATTTCACCCATCAATGACTTACCACAGAATCATGGAGAAAAGGTATCGTTGTTAGGTTTAAATGATTTGTAAATTACAGATATGTGTTTGTATGTGTACGTACATTGAAGGATACCTTCATGAAAATAATTTCATCAGGTTGATAGATCATAGGATATTTGGATTTTCCTATAAACTATCAACAGTAGTGAGAAGCAGTACTCCAGTCAGAAGCTCTGATGAGGAAGGTGTCTGATAGACATTGAAATGTTAGCAAGATGAGAGGTTCTGGTTGTGTACAAGAAAATTCTAATATCCATGGTACTTTCAATGCGAATTACTGATGACATTGATGATTGAATTAACACAAAATATGGTTAAAAATTAAATTCATAATTCTTGTAGGACCCTGTTTTTGACACGTTTTATGGAAAATCTTCCGGTGTAGATGTTATTCCAGGATTATTTTTAATATAATATAATACAGTATTATGAAGTAACCAGCTTTGTAAGGTACTTAAATGTAGCTTGTCTTCATCAAATATTAAACACTATCTGATCAATAATTGCTGTCACAAGATGAAGGTCTTGCAGTAATTCATGTTAATCAAAGCCATTCAACTCAATTTTAGGGCAACAAAACTGGATTTTTAAACTCAATTTTCTTCTCATTCTTTTAAATTTTAATGTAGTAAGTTGAAGTAATCCTATGCTATAGCATATTGATATCTGTGAGGCAAAATTGTGATGACGCTTACAAAAATCGTTGCTTGTTTTGTATCTTATGCTGGTTCTAGCTATTTATGGGCAGTACCACAAAGAAAAAGAGATGCCTCAAGTAGCTTGTTTTTCAAACACTTAAAGTATGAAATAATGACAAAAATGTGCATGAAATGGCAGTAAATATCAACATCAGACAGATTTTCTCATCCAGAATATTTTTTGCCATCCTGAAATTACACTAGGTTTTAATCGTGTATCATTTGCTTAATCCGTCATCAGTCTATCAGATGTTAATCCCATATTTTCCATTTTTTAGCAAAGCAAGGACTCCCTGTTCTTCCGAGACAACAAGAGGAGGATCGACTACGTCCTGGCGTACGAGAAAAACGACGACTCGAAGAGCGAGGAGAAGAAGCAGCAGAAGCGGGAGTGTTACGAGGAGAACCTGAGATACGAGGGGCTGGAACTGGAGTATGAGGACAGGGAGGTAAGGTCACTTCAAGGTCACAAGCTTACGGTTAAAATAAGACAAATCTTCTTGACATGTTCCTTACAGTCATACAATCATGTCATGCTTTGAATCTAGTTCACACACATCATGTACGTGTAAGCACTATTACCAAGGGCAGTATAGTCGGTACCATATGGTTGGTATAGTCAGTACTAAGGACAGTGTAGTTGATGTCCTTGAGACTACCATATTGAGACTATATTCAGTACTATGGACAGTGTAGTCAGTACCAAGGACAGTGTAGTCAGTACCATATGGACAGGGTAGTATCATATGGACTGTGTAGATAGTACCAAGAACAGTAGTCAGTATCATATGGACTGTGTAGTCAGTACTGTGTAGTCAGTACCAAGGACAGTACAGTCAGTACCAAGGACAGTGTAGTCAGTACCAAGGACAGTACAGTCAGTACCGTATGGACAGTGTAGTCAGTACCAAGGACAGTACAGTCAGTACCAAGGACAGTACAGTCAGTACCAAGGACAGTACAGTCAGTACCGTATGGACAGTGTAGTCAGTACCAAGGACAGTACAGTCAGTACCATATGGACTGTAGTCAGTACCAAGGACAGTAGTCAGTACCAAGGACAGTACAGTCAGTACCATATGGACTGTAGTCAGTACCAAGGACAGTAGTCAGTACCAAGGACAGTACAGTCAGTACCATATGGACTGTGTATTCAGTACCAAGGACAGTACAGTCAGTACCATGGACAGTGTAGTCAGTACCATATGGACAGAGTAGTATCATATGGACGGTGTAGTCAGTACCAAGGGCAGTGTAGTCAGTACAAAGGACATTGTTTTCAGTACCAAGGGCAGTACCATAAAGAGAGTACATTCAGTACCAATGGCAGTGTAGTCAGTACTAAGAACAGTAGTTAGTACTAAGAACAGTGTAGTCAGTACTAAGAACAGTGTAGTCAGTACTAAGAACAGTGTAGTCAGTACCAAGGACAGTGTAGTCAGTACTAAGAACAGTAGTCAGTACTAAGAACAGTGTAGTTAGTACTAAGAACAGCGTAGTCAGTACCAAGGACAGTGTAGCCAGTACCAAGGACAGTGTAGTCACCATATGGACAGAGTAGTATCATATGGACAGTGTAGTCAGTACCAAGGACAGTGTAGTCAATTCCATATAGACAGTGTAGTCAGTACCAAAGACAGTGAGTCAGTACCAAGGACAGTACAGTCAGTACTAAGGACACTATATTCAGTACTAAAGACAGTACAGTCAGTACCATATGGACTGTGAAGTCAGTACCAAGGACAGTACAGTCAGTACCATATGGAATTTAGACTGCTTACACAGAAATGCCATGTTGTTGTTGTTATTGCTGTTTTACCCCTTTGTACATTTATCCTTTTTAAATATTTTGTAACATACCAATACAAGGAATATTTATTATGTACTTGTACACACACACACACATTTATGACAGCTATAATTGTTTGTTGTCCAATGTTGTATTAACCTCCATACATACATACATGTAATATACAAAGACTAACCATCCATGTCTGTAACGCCCCCTTGTGTTTGTGTTTGTTACTGCATTCCCCAGACAGTGGAAGGTTCTAATGTAGAACCACAAGAGGTACCTGTGTCATGTATGGTTGTTTTGCGGTGCTTCACTCAAGCTTGCTTTCCCCCAAACTCTACCTCACTCACCCTTATCCCCACAGGGGGTTGAAGTTAACTCTCTCTCAGACATGTTACACTGTAAAAATTACTGTAACCATAAAAGTTTGTTGAAACTTTTTAGCAAAACAGCGCAATTCGGGCATTGTTTTGCAAGGTAATTGCTTTAAACATATGCGAAAACTGTGCAGTTTTTGTTTAAAGTGAGTTCATTTCCAGTGTAAAAATCGTGTAGAAGTTTGTGTGTGGTTATGTGTTATAGATGGCCACATGAGATTGTAGCTAGTTAGTGCACAATGGTTACATGGCTTTTGCACAAGTTTTAACCGTGTGTTACAATACTTTTACATGGCTTTCAATCATGATTTAAACACAGTTTACATTGACTTATTTGCTTAAGAGATGGACAAGATAAAACCAAGTGTAAAATGCACCAAAAGAAAGTGAATCGAGATCTGTACACAACTGTACATAGTACACATTGTATGAAATTCAACATGGTACAATATGTACTTTTGCTACAGCTACATAGACAAGTCTTGGATAGCTAATTTCAACCCTTCTTTAGTACACACCCTAACACCCTTGTCTGTTCGCAGCTGCTAGAAGATGTGCTGGACTAGCTCAAGCTGCAGTTAGAACCACTTATAGCTGCTTCGCACACAAACCCTCAGGCCATACCAATTTGATTTGTTTGTTCTTAACATTCTAGGCTGTTTTTAATGCAAAATGATGACTTTTAATCATGAGCATTTATGAGCATTTTGGGGTTGATTGAAACTGAATAGTACTTAAATAAAATATGAAATCCATGAACCAGCAAATTAAATTGTTGTGCCTTCACTCTAGTTACAAGTTGTACTGTGATGATGTTCTAAGAACAATTACTTTGTAGTAATGTTCTTTTTGAATGTATTGCTCACACTTTATCTCACATGACATTGTACTCTTAATTCTTTTGCACAAGCTTAATTTGATGTTAATATAAAACACAGCACTCTTGCTTGTTAGTTGTAGAATTTCTGTAGTACATGTATGCTTTGAATGCTTTGTATCTTCTTTGAAATAACCAAGCTCTTTCCCTCTTTTCTGCTAATGCTACATATAGCTAAATTTGAACAATCTTTGTTTACACTGTTAAGGAAAATCAGTTATTTTTTGTTCCTGTTAATAGGACACAACTGATGCTACAGTTTTTGATGAGTCCATAACCTGTCCTTGTTTTCAATATCCCCCAGCTGTCACAAGATGGGAAGACCTTCTATGTGAAAGTCCATGCACCGTTTGACGTGCTGTGCAAGTATGCTGAACTTCTCTGCATCAAGATGCCCATTGCTGTAAGTGTTAATTCTGGACAATTTTACCAGTGTAAATCATTCTTTATTCAGTGAACAAGAAATACACAAGAACTCCAGGTCATGCCAGCCAGTAATGACCGAGCATGCAACATTAACAATGACAACGACTATGACATACACAGATGACATTTAAATTGATCAAACTTAGTGACAAGAGGTTTAAAATCTGGGATTAACTATATATTAATTGAACATTATTTAAAAAATAACTTGGACTGTCCGTCACTATTAGCAGTTTAACCAATAAGAGTGAAGCAATTAGCAGTTCAGCCAATGAGAGACTGGCAATAACTATTCAACCAATCAGAAAGTGACTGCATGTCCATCAAATATCTACATTTAGACGGAGGTTGGCAGGCCTTTAATTTGGGTTCAGTCTGTTGTTGTTACTGTATGTCATCAGCACATTTTAATGCTATGTGTAATAGACTAAGTATAGTTTACAAGCACGTTAGCAGAACGTACTGTGCCTGGGCAAAACTCCAATTTTTCACGGTTATCGTTGGAGTTTTGGTCAACGTTGCATTACAATTTTGCCTGTTGCAGACGACATAACATTTGGAAACTACAGACGGAGTGTTGATCTTATATGCGCGAATACAACCTTATATGGGACGTTCTGCCGAAGTGCTATGCACAATATATTACGGATTTCGCGCAGGTGCAGTACGTTCTGCCGACGTGCTATCAAATATCTACATTTTGATGGAGGTTGGCAGGCCATTGGGATCAGTCCGTTGTTGTTACTGTATCATGTATGTCATCAGCACAGTGTTTTTTTGCTATGTGTAATAGTATAGTTTACAGGTGCTGGGTTAAATTTGGAATTTTCAAACAATTATCTTTGATATTGTTTCTAGGGTTATACATTCATTCATTTTAAGATGATTATCTTTGATATTGTTTCTAGGGTACCATTATACATTTATTTTAAGATGTGACTCTAATTTTGTAGAGTAATTTGGTAGAGTGCTCGCTTTGTAACCGGGAGGTTGTGAGTTCAAACCCCGGCCGGGTCATACCAAAGACTTTAAAAATGGTACACACTTCTTTCACTGCTTAGCACTCAGCACATATGAGAAAGAGTGTGGGAAGGTCAAACACACAGCACTACCAGCAGACTAGCCCCCTGCTGTAGTGCATTGCACAACTGTGTGTCGCCCAAGGGCTACGAAATGGAGATGGGCACCACCCTACACTTGGGCTAGAGCACGGGAGACCTTCTTCTTCTTCTCTAATTTTCCTTGTGATATTTGTGTGTTCAGTATAACGACCTGGAAGATGAAGATGATGGGAGACAGTGCCCAAACCCCATGAGACTGGAGATAGAGGACGATGATGACAGGGATGTCTTCACTGCTCCCTTCATGCGCAACCGCATGAAAAAGTAAGGTGGTGCTTTTAAACTGTAAACTTAGACTCAAAGTGATCATGCACTGATCATGATAAAATCAATGAACTTATCTACTTTTTTGTTGCTCAAACCATTTGGGCAAGAACATTATGATAAATATACAACTCTGCATCTTTTTCTGAAACTGAAATAGCTTAATCTTTACTTGTTAGTTTACTGTATTAGTATGTTATATTGTGTATGTTTAATCTTTGTATTGTTTGGTGCCCTAAATCAGCTATGCTGCCTGGGTGGCCAGTGTATTGTATTGTTACAATCTTATTAAATAAATAAATATTTTTCTGTTCAATTATGTATCCACGAGGTAGAATTTTGATTTTTTTTAAACAAACTTTTATCATTATCTTTCAGGTTCATGATTCCTCCAAATAAAGAAGACTTTTTCCACCATGCAGTCCGCAGCAGAATTGTAAGTACAGTATTCTATATCTGATTCAACCCTTTTTATTTAAATAGACCCTTTTCAATACTTTCTTCCAAAAATCTGCTAACCAAAAAATTAGATTGGTATGGTCTCCTACCATTGGCGTGGTATCATACCTCAGTTTTGTGCTACTTAAAATCTTGTGTAAGTTACGCTCACGTAAATTCTATTTCCCCATGCTCAGGTGTACACCATCTTGGAGCGCTGTCGCTACGAGGACGACAAGAGGAAAATCGGCATCAAGAAGATGCTGAACAACGGGTCTTACCTCGCGGCCTACCCTCTTCACGATGTAGGTTTCTTAAAGAGACAGTCTTGTCATATTTACGTTAAACTTTAGTGTAACTCAATTGGCTTGGACTTACATTTGTACATTTTTGTATACCCTGTTGTGACAAATAGAAATCACAAAACATACACATTTATTCTAAAATGGATCCAGTTTGCTTGGATAACTGTTTTTCTTGAGTAAAAGCCATACAATCGTGTACTTAGCCACACAGAATGCAGAGTATTAAGTGAATGCAGTTTTTGCATTTTGAAGCTTTGTGAATTTTTGACTCAGTCTCAAATTTTGGTGGTTGACTACATTGTCAGCTTAATTTAATGGAAATCTCTTTCCATGTCTTAAAAATGAATGATGATTTTTTTTAATCTGTCATTTAGACAACAGATTGGACAAAATTTTGTGTCATGAGCAGCAACATTCTGTCAAATGATGGAAATAGTTCAAATACAGATGCTGGCTAAAACACTGCATTACATGTTCCTGAATATGGTGTGTACATATCTAGGGACCGTACAAGAGCGAACACTCCAAACTCACCCACGGGTACAAGAATGATCGACATCTCCTGTTTGAGGAGTGGGCACGCCTCGGGAAGTGGTACAAGTACCAACCACTGGACAAGATCAGGTCAGGACCAGGACATGCCTACACTAGAATTCGATAAACGCTATGCAACATTCTTTGTATTGTAGGACATAGACAAAAAAAAGAATGTAGTAGCTGTATTGAATACTTCAATTATTCTTTCCATAAAGCAGTTATATCAGAAATGTTGTGTTCAAATATATGCTAAATAGAACGAAAAATTTTCTTTTTATATTTCAGGCAAGATAGAATTGTTTTCAAACAATGCTAGACTAGTTTTATCGCTTTTTGGGCCAAGAAAAATATTAATTCACTGTATTTCTGATATCTACCTGCACTAAACAGGTGCATGTACTGGGTTTGTATTAGGTGAATGTGGATTTTCATTTTGTGTATTGACTGGTACCTCCTTCATTTTGACTGAAGTGTAAAAGAAATGTTGGCAATAGTTTCTGAACAATTTGTGTATGATCCATAGTTGCTACATTCTGAGTGGTGCAGGTACAAATGTAGAATTTGGTGGAAGTATGCAGAAGAAAAGTATTATGAGCCCTCACCATTGATCTAAATTAAGAGTGCTAAAATAAGTGTAAGCCCAACATAACAGCGTTTTACACACATTTCTCAGAGATTATTTTGGGAGCCAGATAGGTATCTACTTCGTCTGGTTGGGCCACTATACCACCATGCTGTGGCTACCGTCATTCTTCGGGATGTTGGTTATCTTTTACGGGCTGGGAACGCTCGTAAATGAAGGAGTCAGGTACAAAGAACAATGTGGGTGGGTGGTGGTCACAACGGTGGAAGGACATACATGTACATTACACAACTAACCTTTATTGTCAGTTCAACTTCACACCAATTGTATCACCTGGTCCATTGTTTTTTTTCTGTATGGAAATTTTCAAAAGCATGCCAGTACATGTATAATTACATGTATGTTAGAAAAGTTTGAGGGAAGAAAATCTAGAGGAAGCCAAGTGTAAAATTGGTCTGAAGTGACAGGTGTTGCATTTACATGTAACATTGGATTGTTCTCTTTGCAACGTACAAAGCATTTTTCTTCATAGTAAGTTTTTCTTTTCAAACGATTTTCAAACTGTTTTTCCAAAATTTGCTAGTCTAGAGCTCAGTTTTCAATCTATTTCATTTCTAAGCAAAAATTTACCAAAATTGTTGCAAAGAGAGTTTTCCTGGATCAATTAGTTATTAAGAGCGATGCCCTACTAGCCGACTGATTCAACCAGCCAAACCTTTAATAAGATATGGTGATGGGTTTACTAACACGCAAATATTTTCTCTTGCCCTGTTTCTTTGTTCTTTCCCCTCATTTCTCAATTTCAATACCCAAAATTCCTTGCTCATCAACTTCACCACCAAATTTCCTCCCATAATTCCATACTCCATCTCATATTACCCATCCTGCTCCATTTTTCTATCAATTCTATCCCACCATGCATTTCCGTGCTCATCGTCACCACCATTGCTATCCCATAATTCTTTCCGTCAATGATATCCCATCACCCTTTCCTGACTCCATCTTCACTCTTGACTGCCATTGCTATCCCATCATCCTTTTGGTCAATGCTATCCCATCATGCTGTCCTGTCTTCAACTTAACCGCTATTGCTATCCCATCATCCTTTCTGCCTATGCTATCCCCTCTTCCTTTCTATCAATGGCATCCCATAATGCTTTTCTGTCTCCATCTTTACTATCAATGCTATCCCATCATGCTTTCCTGTCTCCATCTTCACCACATCTCTATCCCATCATCCCTTGCTGGCTGCATGTTGGTGGCGGTCCATGTAGACAATACTTTGGTGAGAAGATCGGTCTGTACTTCGCGTGGCTCGGGTTCTACACCAACACGCTCATTGCTCCCGCTATCGTGGGCTTCATCTGTATCCTGTACGGAGCAATCTCATTGGGAGAGGATGTTACCAGGTAATACTAACAACGGCATAAATATATCTAATAAGTATGTACATGTATATCTATATTATATTGTATATGTGTCCAATGGATGTATATGACTTTTGTACAATTTACATGTAGCAATATTGTGAAAAGAATTGTAAATCATTTTCATAATATTTCTATATCAAGAATTTGGCCAATCAATTGGAGAATGTTAAAAGAAATTGTTAAAAACAATTTTGTGACGTGTTTGTTATGTAGTATTACGACGTATAATAAACAAAGTATTGTCAATGTTCTAAATCAAATGATCTTAATCAAATATAGACAATTTTTTGACAGAAATTATTAAGAAAATGACACAATGTTAACATAAGTAATTCAAATGTTAAAAACTTCTACGATGGTTTTCATTGAGTGCACAATGTACATACATGTGTATGATTTAGTCCGTAGCTTCAAATCCTTTTCTAATCTAAGTCATGTCTTTTTTTATCTTGCCCTTTCCTCTTAAGCCAAGAGATCTGTGGGTCTAACATCACCATGTGTCCACTGTGTGACCAGAGGTGCAGGTACTGGTCATTAGCCAACCAGTGTAGATACTCACAGGTAACGTTATAGCTGCAACGGACCTATAATACCATTATTATGTCACAGTTTGTTAACCTGTTCTAAAGAACATTCTAGAACGGTCAGTTAAAGAATAAAGATCATTTGAAAGTTTTCAAAGTAAGGTATGTCTGATTTTTGCTGCGTGTTGTTGTGTTGACACAGCATTACATGCCGCATGGGTGATTTAGTTGTGACATTAGACGAAAGTAGTACTGTATTAAAAGCCTTATATTAGGCTAACGTTACACAAACACACACCGCGCTACGCACCCCTGTACAATATAAACGTTGATTGACCGGCATTCATTGCAGTAAACAAACTGTGACGTAATAATGGTATAGGTCCATTTTCTTCATCATTTGTGAAGCATAGTTTAAAATAGCTGCATTTACAATGTCATATACCTTTTTTACAAATCCCATTGCATGCTGGGAGAAGCAGGGCAGTATGGGTAGCAGACTGCTGGCAAACAATATAATAAAATCACATTTCAGCATATGCTGTGCTTTTGCTGTCTATGTGGTTGTTAATATGATAGTTAATATATCATTTTTTACTCAAGTCATGTCAAGTTTATTGCGCAACAATTGCATTTGATACAATGTATGGCAAATAACACTTAATAACTTTAAACTATTTCTACTAGTGTACTAACTTCAATACATATATACTATATATGTTACTAATATAGGCACGTGCATATGATCCAAGAAGATAATCCAATGACAAAAGTTATAGTCCAAATTTTCGATTTTATGTCATGTTTTTTATTTATTAATATGTTAAAATGATAATTATACAAGTTGATAATATCTCTTGTTAACCCTAGGCTTCGCACGTGATAGACAATCCTGCAACTGTGTTCTTTGCGATCTTCATGGCTTTGTGGGGTAGGCAGACTTCTTTCTAGTTTCTCTTAGAAAATGCTGTGTATATAGTGCTTGAACTGCAAGTGTACAATCTACATTGTACAATGTATTGTTGTCACGGTCTTCCTTATTAAAGACATGAAAACTAAATACAAATTAATGTATTATGTACACTACATGTAAGTCATAATATTTACTTTGTTGATACATTTTTGTCAAGATATTACAAAATATAGTATTTTAATGATAATTTTGCCTTGTGAAAGCACACAGAGTTTGTAGAGTTTTGTAGAGTAACATAGTTAGGAAATGTATGCAAATAATGAAGCCTTTAAACACTAACTCTCATATGTGTACATTTGTACATGTAAATTTAGTATTTTCATATTTTCCTATTGAAAATTCCACAGTTGATTAAATTAGTATTTGAGCTATTAAAAGATTGCTCAACACTTAAGAGCTCAAATATTTTTCATCTTCATAATATTATCATAATCTTGGTACTACTATAATTAACATTTACTTCCTCTAGCTACCATGTTCCTGGAGTTCTGGAAGAGAAAACAGGCTGTTATCTCCTATGACTGGGACCTGGTGGGCTTTGAGGATGAAGAGGTTTGTAAAATAATTTAGACTTACAGGCAAAAACTCTGTTTTTCAATCAAGGGGGCAAGTCTTTTTTCCTAAAAGAAGCGACAATCTATGTGACACGTGTACATGTAAAGATGATGTCCACAAAATCAAAAACTTGTGTAGCATACATGTACAATGTAGTTGGTTGACAATTGCATTTACATGGGTCCTTGATGGCTGCCATGTATTTCTTACATCGTTTTTACATAATTTGAAAAAAAAAATGCCATTGAGATTTTTTTTCAAATGATGAAAAAACGATGTAAGAAATACATGGCAGCAATCAAGGACCCATTGGGGGTTAACCCAATTCTGCAGAACTCTTAACTAGAGCCAGAACTCTGCAGAGTTTCGGGGAACTAGAGCCAGAATTCCGGTTAATAATTCTGCAGAAGTGGGTTAATCCCCAAGGGGTCCTCAATTGCCACTACATATACATGTTTCTAACATCATTTTTACCTATAGTTTACAATATTAGCCCATCTAGATGTTAGGTTGCTGAGATATGGGAATTAGTCCGGAGTTAAAGTGGAGGCTGTTTTCCTAGAGAGATGACCTTTAACCTTGGTTACCATGGTTACATGATGCTAACTTCTGTCCTCCATTTTCCAGGAGAGACCCAGGCCGGAGTTTGAGTCCAAGGTGTCCACTCACAGAATCAACCCTGTCAACAAGGTCAGAAATCATATTATATAAATAATTCCTAAAAATATTCCTATCGTCAATTTTTAAACCTATGCCAGTTTCATCAATGAAGGTTAGACATCCAGGTAATGCGATACACAAGGAATTTGTTACTCAAGCTACTTTCAAAATCTACCTAGTTGCTTGAGTAACAATTTCCTTGTGTATCAATGGCAATTACCAAAATATGCTTTTCATATTAAAATTGTCTTCAGTGATGAACATTTTGTTAATTTTGAATGTAAGATAAATTTACGTACAAAAGTCAGTTATAATACATGTAAGTTGGTCACTAGGGGTAAAATTTTTTGCTGGCACCTCAGGGGCGGAGCCATCGGCTCTTCATTCATTAGACCAATCCCATAGCCCTTCCACCTCAATCAAAATATAGAAAATGTAATATCCAGACATTAAAATGTAAATATTTGTTCTGAACATTCAGCCACTCTCTTCTTGGTTGTACCACTGTATTGCCATGCTATCATTGGCTGAGCTGCTAATTATGACTGACAGTCAGTATCAGTCTACTGCCAGTCAAGTTATATTATGTTGATGGTGACTCAGATGTACAGGAATAATGTGTATAAGCTACTTTTACCACCACTCCTATGATAGGTCCTTATCATGACTCCACAAGGACTTGCCAATCCTAACTTCGAGGTCCCAAAGCCTTACGTAGGTTCAACATCACGGACTGGTTCAATCAGAGATACATTGTGTTCCCCAGTTTGTTCCACTGTTCAATTTTCGTTGATCTCATCATTTCTTACTCCCTGTGTTTGTTCCAAAAGAGAGTAATACATGCTCTCCCATTAGTTGTTTTACTCACAATTTCATGGTTCATTAGAATGTGGTAAATTGTGATTAACATGACAGTTTTAGGGTTAAACTGTTAGCGGATGTTGTAACGACTAGTAAGAGTAAGTTAGAGGTTTGTTCAAGTTTTCAGTTTTTAGTTCATTAATGTTGTTGTTGAATCATTTTCTCTATTAATAATGATGATGATGAGGTCTTGACGAGGCTCCGGACTTCAGTTAGACCAAAAATCGTCAACGTGGCGACATGTAAACCCTTGGTAAATTTTAAATAAATGAAATGAAAGAAGTAGGGTTAGTCTGGGGATCGCTAACAAGTCCAATTTTCTCTCTTACTAACCTAATTAGTTACTTGTTTTGTCTTGGTTTGATAAATTCAGATCTCCATTAGTGAATACAATTGCTTGTTTTCTCTTAGACTATTGGTTTGGTAATTTTTTTGTATTATTGATTATTGACTAAGTTAGTATTTATGTATTCTTCAAAAAACTTGTGTTGTTGTGTCGTCCTTTTTGTTGTGTGTTATCCGCTGAAATTTGGTTGTTTTTGAAGTTTTAGAGGAATTTACCCATGACGCTGAATAACTTTACCCACTGTACAGTCCTTTGAAGGTTGCAGTTATTACATTTATTTACTTTTGTGGTGGTTTTATGTCGCAGTAGAATGGAAAAGGAGGTTTTTCAATTTTCAGTTGAAACAAAAAATCTAGTGCTGTGTATGTACAAGTTGGAAATGCATATTCACGGTGTCAAAATTTGTGGCAGTGAAGAAAATCACGAGAATAAAACCACCGCAAAGTTAGAAGATGGAATATATAATTAATATCAGGCATTAATTTTTTTTTTCTCTGTTTCAGTTGGAAGAGGCTTTCCTGCCGTTCTACAACAAAGTACCCAGACTGATCTGGGCTGGGCTGGTGGTGGTCTTCATGGTGAGGGAGTCAAGGAATTACTTCACACTCAAATGAACAAATAGCATTTTATTAAAATTGCAACAGTGCAATACACACGGAACAGAGGCAGCTGTTGCCGGTGTTTTGTCCCTCACATAGAAACAAATACTGGACAGACAATACTCATTTTCTAGTGGGGAAAGTCGTGTCAAGTGCCTTTCCCAAGGGACTCAAACCTGGGACCTATTGATTCCGAGTCACGCACACTGCCATTGCGCCACACGACCCCACTGCTTTATTGTACAATGCCATGTACATGCCATTGTTTTGTACTTCCAGCAATTCTTTGTGGCGTGCTTTGGTATACTGATCTGTACTATTTCTAGCAGTCGACTATAACCGGTTATTTGTTTAGATGGAATTGCCATACACTGGTGTAAACAAATATTAAAGGTCCACTATGTAGTCATTAATGCTGGGACAGAAGTATTGTTTAGGGCGGCACTGTTTTAAGGAATGTTTGTAGGTTTTGGTTCTAGACATTGTGTTGGAGTATTGGAGGAATTTAGTGGTGTAAAATCTGATGACATTATATCATACAATCCTTTCCACAGTTCCATAGATACATTCACAAAAACTGCCTGGACCTCCAAAAATGTGTGAAATCTTTGATTTCTTTTTTTTATGACTTATAAGCCAAATTTGTTGATTGTTTTATTCTTAAAACTCCCCCCAGGTCTCGCTGGTTCTGGCGGCCGTGTTTGCGGTGATCGTGTACCGTATCGTGATCGTCGTGGTGTTCTACAGGTCCGACCTGGGGCTCATCTCGGAACGCGCAAAACTCGCCACCTCCGCCACCGCTGCCCTGCTCAACTTGATCGCCATCATGATTCTCAACAAGGTAAGGAAAAGGTTTTGTGGACTGGCAGTGTGTTAAGAGTCTTGATCAGAATACATTTCTACTGCCAAATTCTTAAAGCCAGAAAATTCATGTGCAAGCTTGCCCATTTTTACAATCACTTAACTGCATGTACTTTGTAATGTCTTCTCCATAGGCCATGCATAGGCCGGATAATAGAATATGCTTAATACAGGGGGCATTAGCGAGACATTGCCATCATGACAACTGTTTAATGGGGTTTATGCATTGACGTTTTTTTTTTCCTTTATTTCACCGGTAAACTCCCTTTAGACATAACACTGTAATTTTTCAACCACTCATACTGGGAAGGACCCCTACTCCTTTCGATAAGTGCAGTGGGCTCGAGATGCGGCACTCCTCAAACACAGGACATCTTGGTTTACATCCCATACGAGAAGATCAGTTTTTAATACATTTTTGTCAGCCTAGTTGTATTGATACAAAAGGCAAAAAAAAAAACTTAAGGTACTCTCAACAACATGAGTGTCCATTTCCGATATTTTGCAATTGACAGTTTATTGTTATGTTTACTTAATACATAAAAAATTATATAATTTGCTCACTCTGCCACTACTTTGTAGGATGACAGCATGATGGCAGACTTGTGTCCTTTTTTTCACATGCAGGTGTCATCCGATCTAGTCAGCATGGCTTAAAGTCATCAAAACTAATGTAATTTCAAGCTGTGGAGAAACTTGAATTATTATAAGTCAACGTTTGTCGTGTTACAGATCTACGAACGAGTCTGTTACTGGCTGACGGACATGGAGCTGCCGCGTACACAGACGGAATACGAGGACAGTTTCACCTTCAAGATGTTCCTGTTCCAGTCGGTCAACTACTACGCTTCTATCTTCTACATAGCTTTCTTCAAGGGGAGTTTTGTAGGAAGGCCAGGAGACTACAACTACTTTTTGAACGAGTACAGACCCGACGAAGTAAGATAGCATAATTTTAAGAATATTTGCTAAGTTTGCGGGTTTTTCTTGTTACAGTTGTCTTTTCTACACATTCTGTACTAAGTCTATTGTTTCAACTATAAACTCAAAGGTACCGTGTGAAGTTTGTGTGCTACAAAATTTAAGACTTTACAGTATGTTGATAAAGTTTTATAATCTTTAATGCCATGAAAGTTATATTTTAAATTTTAGCAGAAGGAATTAAGCAAAATAACAAAGAGGGCAAAGTTATTAATTCTTCAGACTTTGAACTGTTGGTCTAAGCAAATTTCAGATTTGAACTCATCACAAGACTAGCCATAGGATTTTTCATGTCTCAGACTATGAGTAACTTCATTAATACAATAAAATGCCCAGTGTTTGGTGCAGCTCATATGATATTTTCACTAGGTGGCACTGTTGAGTAGACTACTATGAAATGCTAAGTTAACCTTTACCCATTTTTCCTTGCCAGTGTGATGTTGGAGGCTGCCTGATCGACTTGTGCCTCCAGCTGGCCATCATCATGGTGGGCAAACAGGCCTACAACAACTTCATGGAGCTCATCTTCCCGTGAGTACAAGTTTTCATCTCCAAAACATTTGCCAGCAAGTCCAGAATGGTTCCCTCAATACTTTCGAAAACTAAGTGTAGTTGTCAGTCACATAACACAAAGAAGTATCCATTAAGCAAGTAGCACTGATGGATGTCATATCTCTTGTCCAAAACACAATTGTACACATGAAAATGGCCTTACATGAAAATGGCCCTACGTGTATATGTATATTGAAGCAGATGCCTTTATTCAAATTTTTATTGTAAAGACGTTTTACTTTCCAGAAGCATTGTTCCCAAAAATTTATAATGTACAAGATCTCAAAATGCAAAGTGTTACTAAGAATGTTGACTATGCTTTCATCAGAGATATTAAATTTGGTGTCATAGATTTCGCATCACTAGTCTTCCTGGTATGGAAGTACATGTATTGTTTTGGGTGGCTGTTTTTATGGCTTTGTATGTCTGTCTTAATTTGGGTGATCAGGAAGTCACCCACACAACTGGAGCAAGTGGTGTAGTACCCAGATAGATTGCATCATACAATTCCTTCCTTCAGTTCTCAAACTACTTCCCAGAAGTTGGACATTTCAAATTTCTTGTATTTGTGCTGTTTCCTACAATGTCACTGGCCTGAATAATTGAGAGCTGAGACATAATTATGATTACAGGAAGCTGAAGAACTGGTGGTCACGGCGCGGTAACATTGACCAGGACGACGTGCCCGAGCAGGCGTACACACGCTGGGAACAAGACTGCGATCTCGTTCCCGTGCCTGTCATGGCACTGTTCCCGGAGTACCTGGAAATGGGTGAGACACATCAAACTTGAATGTATATTATGAGCACGTCGGCAGAACGCACTGCACCTGCGCGAAATCCGTAATGTACTGTACATAGCACTTTGACAGAACGTCTCATATAAGGTTGTATTCGCGCATATAAGGTTAACATCCCGTCTGTAGTTTCCAAATGTTATGTCGGAAAATATATCCTTTGCAACAGGCAAAATTCTAATGCAACGTTGACCTAGAATCCATCGAAAATCGTGAAAAATCAGGGTCCTGCGCAGGTGCAGTACGTTCTGCCGACGTGCTTATATTATGTACCTTCATGTATGGAGGCATTGTTTAAGTTAGTAATACTTTACTGAGAACACCCATCAATCCAAAGTACATGTACAAGAAAGGATTTAAAACTGTTCTGTAAGCGTAGGAGCTTTCAGACGGCATCCACCATCTTTCTAAAGTTAATAAAGAGGGCAGAAAAAAAAGCAAATTTCCCTGCCAGCGTAAATTCCATGAAGTTAGAACAAGTTGCAACACTCCCTTGTTCCCCCTGCTGTAAAATCAAACCATTGCAAATTCAAAAAAATAAATGACTTTACAGTTCCTTGAGGCATAGACATGAAAAAAAATGAAGTAAAAGTTTTGACTTAAGTGGGGTACTTTCTGTAAGGCTTATTTATAGATACATGTATTACTTTTACTTTATGTATTAGAGTTTAGGGAGTCTCTATGTTTATGTTTATGTCAAAGTTTGCGTGAAAATGAATAAATAAAAAAAAGTTTTGACTTCAGCCCTGTTCTGTTGATTCCTTCCTCCCCAGTTATCCAGTTTGGGTTCGTGACGCTGTTTGTCGCTGCGTTCCCGCTGGCGCCATTTTTCGCTCTGATCAACAACATCCTGGAGATCCGACTGGATGCGTACAAGTTCGTCACACAGTACCGACGACCAATGGCTGCTCGCGCTCAGGACATCGGAGTCTGGTACAACATCCTCGAGGTCCTCGCTAAAGTTGCTGTGGTGTCCAATGTAAGGATTTGATTTCTTTATTTATTTCATCTTATAAACACCTGTGTAGCCTTTACAACAGTAAGATTGTTGATTTCCAAAAGGGCCCAGGAATCTGTGTCCATAATATCACCAGGGTCCATAATATCGCCACTTTGAGAAATAGTGTGCTTAAAGATATTTTTACTGCAACATACCCTAGGTATGTACATTTGATGTGTGAAGGAGTGCATACCAAAAGTATGTCGCAGTAAAAATATCTTTAAGCACACTGTTTTTCAAGGTGGCTTTATTATGGACCCTGGTGATATGGACACAGATGTTAATTATTCTTGACCTCTCTGCAGGCTTTTGTGATTGGCTACACATCTAACTTCATCCCACGGCTGGTGTACCTGTACGGGTACAGCCCGGAGCCGGGCGTGTCCATGAGCGGGTACGTGGAGGACTCGCTCTCCTACTTCAACGTCAGCGACTTCCAGACCCTCAGCATCCCTAACGACCCACTGGGGCCAGATGGGAACAACGTCACCATCTGCAGGTAAAGACGTTTTCTTAGGTTTCTTTTAAGTTGACTGAACGTTTGTAAAACCAGTGCATGGCTGAGTGGGTTAGAGTGTTCGCCTTGCAGTCGGTAGGTCATGAGTTCAATCTCCAGCTTAGTCATACCAAAGGCTTTAAAAATGGTACATACTGCTTTCTCTGCTTAGCATTTGGGAGAAAGTGTGGTAGTTAAAGGGGAAGTCCAATACTTTCAGTTTTGGGGCCTTTCTACCCAAAATCCTATTTGTAAATGGTGATTTATTGGTTTCTGCCAACCCCGCACATATTTGCCGTGATATCTGACATGCTCGATGTTCCCTGGCTAGCGCCAGATTGTCCGCTAGGCGGCGCTGCGACTGGATCTGTGACGTAAAAGGTTTCATTGGAACAGATTTGGAGCGCGCGCCATTTCAGTCTGTCTGCCAGTACATAGCTCGCTGCAAGTATGCCGCGTTGTGCAAGTTGTGGCTGTTGGTATGGCCCTGCGTCAAAGGAGCGCGGCGTAAGCTTCCACAAGTTTCCAAAAGACCACGATAGGCTACACAGGTGGTTGGTCAGCATGAGGAACAATCTTGTAAATAAACTGACGCCAGAGAAAATCAAGGAGTTAGTACACAAGAAGAGCGTCCACTGGCGGGTGTGTTCAGACCATTTCGAGCCTGGATGCTCGTGGAACTCTAGTTGTCATTGAATTCTGTTGAAATTTTCAGTCTATATGGCAGAAGTACGCATGTAGCTAGCTGTTTTCTTTATTTAAAACAAATAGCACCTCAGATTTCAAAGCCTTACAATTCCAGATGGAACCAAAAATGTGACGACCACTGTACTAGCTGTGAACACAATTATTATGGGAAAATGTAAATCCGACTAACACATGTGTCTAAGATTAGAACGCATACAGAAATGTACTGTAATTAGCAGACAAAAAGGTGTTGTTTTGACAAGTTGTTATAAACCACAAAACAGGAAAGGTAGTATTCTGCCACCTCAATTCCTTTCTGTTGGGCGTATGGGCGGTCGATATAAGTAAATCCGTCAAAGGGTTGAGTGAATTGCAACGTAAACAAACCGCGGTACTGACATGTTAGAGACCGGCTCCTGCACGCCCTGCCGGATCAGATCCCACCGAAAAATCAGCAAAGTTCGGAGGTTTGCCGGGTGCAGAATCACATCGAAGTCAGGGTGGTTTCTAATGCATGGGTGGTCTGTACCGACCTTCTTTTCAGTGTCTGTCAGCTCTGGCAGGTCGTGACAACAAACACTCTCCCGTACAGAGGGCATTTCCAGGCAGTTTCTATTGTCTTCGTTTCCACAGCGGCACCAGTCCCGGTTCCCCAACCTCCAACGCTCTGTCTCCACATCACCGCCATCCCAAACGTTGTCATCGCCTGGATCGGGCTCAGAGTCGCCACTACTGTCAGTTTGTGGTTCAAATCGGAAGGGTTGCACGCCCGCCATTGTTGTTTACGCTAGTATAGCAGAATGAAACCTTTTACGTCACAGATTCAGTCGCAGCGCCGCCTAGCGGACAATCTGGCGCTAGCCGCGAAACATCGCTCGGGTCAGATATCACGGCAAATATGTGCGGGGTTGGCAGAAACCAATAAATCACCATTTACAAATAGGATTTTGGGTAGAAAGGCCCCAAAACTGAAAGTATTGGACTTCCCCTTTAAACATACACCACTATCAGTGGGCTAGCCCCCTGCTGTAGTGATTGTACAGCTGCTGTATATCCCAAGGGCTATTGAACTGGAGATGGGCACTGCCCCATTGCATGCACTACCTGATGCAGGAAGGACTAATTTAAGTAAAAATAATATTTATTTATTGTTTCTTTTGCATGGCCAGTAAACTGCCTTTTTACTGGCCAATAAGTACAAGCTGTATAAGACCAGACTGTACGGTCTGAACCACTCACACTGGGATGGATCCCTATTCTTTTTGATAGGCATGGTAGGTTCTTTAAAGTACTTGAGGTGTGGTTCTTCTTAAACTCAGGACCTTCAGCTTTATGAATCATAAACCAAAGCTTAATTTTCACCTGAGTCGAGTGAGGAAATGGATGTATACATGTAAAGTGCCTTAGTTTTCCAAGGGCACAACCTAGGGCCTGCTAGGGATTCCAACCCAAGTCGACAAACCAAACTACAGTTTCAAACTAATTGTAGATTCTATTAAAACCATAGTGACTAGTCTTGGTTATAGAGATGACTTCCTTGTCCTTGCCTACAGTGAAATTTCTGATTTTGTCCCCCCC